CGACTGCCAATCATACCATTCGTTGTTTACAAAAACTGACTACAATCACGAAATCGTTTCTCTGTCGAATTTGCGGAAAGAAGACATCGAGTTCATGCTGGCTAGAGAGGACAACTGCGAAGATCATGTCGGTTACAAACTGGACTTTTTTTGTCAAGAATGTGAAGCGGCCGTCTGCCTTGTGTGTGTGACACGCAATCACTGTGATCACAAAACGATTCCAAATGAAAAGCATTCGACAACAGCTCGAGCCTATTTGGAGGACCGACTTGAAACGTTAGACACACAGGAGCAAACTCTGTCTTCTCACCTTCAAGCTTTAGAGAACATTGCTGTTAAGACAAGAAAAGAAGGGGAGATAACAATAGAAGAAGTCAAGGAGAAGGCAAAGGAAATCATTGAGAAAGTGCAACAACAAGAGAGAGAATTGATAGAGGAAATCCAAAAAAAAATTGAAAAGAGTGAAGAAAGTAAAAAGGAAGTTCAGTGCATGCTTGATCAGAAGAAGAACGAGAAAAGATACATTGGTCAGATGATTGAAAAAAAAATAGCGACGAGAAAGACAGAAAAAATGAAAGAGATGGGCATTTATGCTAAGGATATTATAATCTTGGATGATATAGGGGATATATATGACTCCCAAATGACATTTGTTATGAGCGAAGAGTACTCGAGAATGTTAAATGCACAATTCGGGACGCTGGCGACACTGGCCGGAAAACCGGAGTACGAATACGATAAAAAATCTGGTGCAAAGACAAAGGAATACTTAAGTAGTAAAACATTTTATTCCGGTTTAATCAAAGAAAAGAGATCAGACCTGTGTTACGAGAAAGAAATGAAAGACTATGAGGACGAAAGAGGTGTGCGCTGTCAGAAAGACATTGTCAAATGGAAGGAGAACATTCTCTCACTATCTGATCATCAGGAATGTCAGAAAGCTCAAGTAGATGATTGGAAAGAAAGAGGTAAAGGCTACATGTATGAGGACTGTAAGGATGAAAGTGTCAAATGCAAGGAGGACATTCTCTCATCTGATCATCAGGAATGCAAGAAAGCCCAAGAAAATTATTGGATAGATGTAAGTCCTAAAAAGAAAAAAAAGGCTAAAAAACTAATGAGGAAAGAAAAAATTGGTTCGATCT